CCTAGATACCAGCCAGATAGCCAGCCTAGATACCCACTCACCCACCCACTCACCCACTCACCCACCCACTCACCCACTCACCACCCACACAGAGACACGGATAGCCACTGTCAAACCTCTCTGTTTATTAACCGCATCATGAACGATAACATTTACAACGACACAGGGAACCATTGGGACAGCAGCTACGGTGGGTGGGGGTCAAGGTGGGGGGTAAAGTGGGGGGGGGGGGTCAAGGTGGGGGGGGAGGGTAAATTGGAGGGGTCAAGGTGGGGGGCGGTGGTCAAGGTGGGAGGCAGCAGCTGTAAGACATCTGAAAGTGGATTCGTTCCTCAGCTAGTCAGTGAGCTAGTCAGTGAGCTAGTCAGTGGGCTAGTCAGTGGGCTAGTCAGTGAGCTAGTCAGTGAGCTAGTGGGCTAGTCAGTGAGCTAGTCAGTGAGATAGTCAGTGGGCTAGTCAGTGAGATAGTGGGCTAGTCAGTGAGCTAGTCAGTGGGCTAGTCAGTGAGATAGTGGGCTAGTCAGTGGGCTAGTCAGTGAGCTAGTTAGTGGGTTAGTCAGTGAGCTAGTGGGCTAGTCAGTGAGCTAGTCGGTGAGCTAGTCAGTGAGCTAGTCAGTGGACTAGTCAGTGAGGTAGTCAGTGAGCTAGTCAGTGGGCTAGTCAGTGGGGTAGTCAGTGAGATAGTCAGTGAGGTAGTCAGTGGGCTAGTCAGTGAGGTAGTCAGTGAGATAGTCAGTGAGCTAGTTAGTGGGCTAGTCAGTGGGCTAGTCAGTGAGCTAGTCAGTGGGCTAGTCAGTGAGCTAGTCAGTGAGACAGTCAGTGGGCTAGTCAGTGAGCTAGTCAGTGAGATAGTCAGTGAGCTAGTCAGTGAGCTAGTCAGTGGGCTAGTCAGTGAGCTTGTCAGTGAGCTAGTCAGTGGGCTAGTCAGTGGGCTAGTCAGTGAGCTAGTCAGTGAGATAGTCAGTGAGCTAGTCAGTGAGCTAGTCAGTGGGCTAGTCAGTGGGCTAGTCAGTGAGCTAGTGGGCTAGTCAGTGAGCTAGTCATTGAGCTAGTCAGTGAGCTAGTCAGTCAGATAGTCAGAGGGCTAGTCAGTGGGCTAGTCAGTGAGATAGTCAGTGAGCTAGTCAGTGAGCTAGTCAGTGGGCTAGTCAGTGAGCTAGTCAGTGGGCTAGTCAGTGGGCTAGTCAGTGAGCTAGTCAGTGAGATAGTCAGTGGGCTAGTCAGTGAGCTAGTCAGTGGGCTAGTCAGTGGGCTAGTCAGTGAGATAGTCAGCGAGCTAGTCAGTGAGATAGTCAGTAAGATAGTCAGTGAGCTAGTCAGTGGCATAGTCAGTGAGCTAGTCAGTGGTCTAGTCAGTGAGCTAGTCAGTGGGCTAGTCAGTGAGATAGTCGGTGAGCTAGTCGGTGAGCTAGTCAGTGGGCTAGTCAGTGAGGTAGTCAGTGAGAAGTCAGTGAGCTAGTCAGTGAGCTAGTCAGTGAGCTAGTCAGTGGGCTAGTCAGTGAGCTAGTCAGTGGGCTAGTCAGTAAGATAGTCAGTGAGCTAGTCAGTGAGTTAGTCGGTGGGCTAGTCAGTGAGATAGTCAGTGGGCTAGTCAGTGGGCTCATCAGTGGGCTAGTCAGTGGGCTAGTCAGTGAGATAGTCAGTGAGATAGTCAGTGAGATAGTCAGTGGGCTAGTCAGTGGGCTATTCAGTGGGCTAGTCAGTGAGATAGTCAGTGGGCTAGTCAGTGAGATAGTCAGTGGGCTAGTCAGTGAGATAATCAGTGGGCTAGTCAGTGGGCTAGTCAGTGAGATAGTCAGTGGGCTAGTCAGTGGGCTAGTCAGTGAGCTATTCAGTGGGCTAGTCAGTGAGCTATTCAGTGAGCTAGTCAGTGGGCTAGTCAGTGGGCTAGTCAGTGGGCTAGTCAGTGAGCTAGTCAGTGGGCTAGTTATTGAGCTAGTCAGTGAGCTAGTCAGTGAGATAGTCAGTGAGATATTCAGTGGGCTAGTCAGTGGGCTAGTCAGTGAGGTAGTCATTGGGCTAGTCAGTGGGCTAGTCAGTGAGGTAGTCATTGGGCTAGTCATTGGGCTAGTCAGTGAGATAGTCAGTGGGCTAGTCAGTGAGCTAGTCAGTGGGCTAGTCAGTGAGCTAGTCAGTGGGCTACTCAGTGAGATAGTCAGTGAGCTAGTCAGTGGGCTAATCAGTGGGCTAGTCAGTGGGCTAGTCAGTGGGCTAGTCAGTGAGATAGTCAGTAAGATAGTCAGTGGGCTAGTCAGTGAGCTAGTCAGTGGCATAGTCGGTGAGCTAGTCAGTGGGCTAGTCAGTGAGCTAGTCAGTGGGCTAGTCAGTGAGATAGTCAGTGAGCTAGTCAGTGGGCTAGTCAGTGAGCTAGTCAGTGGGCTAGTCAGTGAGATAGTCAGTGAGCTATTCAGTGGGCTAGTCAGTGGGATAGTCAGTGGGCTAGTCAGTGAGATAGGCAGTGGGCTAGTCAGTGAGCTAGTCAGTGGGCTAGTCAGTGAGCTAGTCAATGAACTAGTCAGTGAGCTAGTCAGTGAGATAGGCAGTGGGCTAGTCAGTGGGCTAGTCAGTGGGCTAGTCAGTGGGCTAGTCAGTGAGCTAGTCAGTGGGCTAGTCAGTGAGCTAGTCAGTGAGCTAGTCAGTGACATAGTGGACTAGTCAGTGAGATAGTCAGTGAGATAGTCAGTGGGCTAGTCAGTGAGCTAGTCAGTGGGCTAGTCAGTGAGCTAGTCAGTGAGCTAGTCAGTGACATAGTGGACTAGTCGGTGAGATAGTCAATGAGATAGTCAGTGGGCTAGTCAGTGGGCTGGTCAGTGAGCTAGTCAGTGAGCTAGTCAGTGAGCTAGTCAGTGACATAGTGGACTAGTCAGTGAGATAGTCAATGAGATAGTCAGTGGGCTAGTCAGTGAGATAGTCAGTGGGCTAGTCAGTGAGCTAGTCAATGGGCTAGTCAGTGACATAGTGGACTAGTCAGTGAGATAGTCAGTGAGTCAGTGAGGTAGTCGACCGACCAGCTCACCGACTTGCTCACTAACTAGCTTGCTCACTAACTAGCTTGCTAACTAGCTCACTAACTAGCTTGCTCACGAGCTAGTTTGCTCACTAGCTTGCTAACTAGCTCACTAACTAGCTTGCTCAGTAACTGGCTTGCTCACTAGCTCACTAACTAGCTTGCTCACTCGTCTCCCAAGCTCACTAACCATCTCACGCACACACTGACAAAGAGATAACCAGACACACAGACACACGCACACAGTGTATGTACAAACACACAGACACACAGTGTATGTAGACACACAGAGACACACAGTGTATGTAGACACACACAGACACACAATGTATGTAGACACACAGAGACACACATTGTATGTACACACAGAGACACACAGTGTATGTAGACACACACAGAGACACACAGAGACACAGTGTATGTAGACACAGACACACACAGTGTATGTACACACACACACACAGAGACACACACACAGTGTATGTAGACACACACAGAGACACACATTGTATGTACACACACACAGAGACGCACAGTGTATGTATGTACACACACACAGAGACACACAGTGTATGTAGACACACACAGTGTATGTAGACACACACAGAGACACAGTGTATGTACACACAGACACACACACAGTGTATGTACACACACACAGAGACACACACACAGACACAGTGTATGTACACACACACAGAGACACACACAGACACTCACAGAGACACACAGAGACACACAGTGTATGTACACACAGACACAGAGACACACAGTGTATGTACACATACACACACACAGAGACACACAGGGTGTATGTACACACACACAAAGACAATGCATGTACACACACAGACACAGTATTATGTACACACACACACAGTGCATGTACACACACAGACACACACACAGACACACAACCAGAGTATGTACACACACACATATATACAAACACACGTACAAATACAAAGGTCCTCCGTGTAGCCTGTAACAGGCTGTAGGGGCAAGTGCTGTTAGCGAGTAGAAGCAGCACTACCTATGAAGGCTACCGGCACTGTGGCTACACACACAGAAGTAGGTGGTGGTGTGGACAGCACCACCACCACGCCCGGCCGCCTTTGTCTCTCCCCCAGTGGCGATGTTCACTACACCAGGTACACTCATTTGAGGCTGAGTCGACCTAGGGGAGGCCCAGGACCGGTTCGGATAATCGTCACCGGTGGTGGTGGTGATGGTGGTGTTGGTGGTGGTTTTGGTGGTTTTGTTGGTGTGTTGGTGGTTGTGGTGGTGGTGTGGTGTTGTTGGTGGTGTTGGTGTTAGTGGTGGTGTTGGTGGTGGTGTTGGTGTGATTGTGGTGTTGGTGGTGTGGTGGTGGTGTTGGTGGTGATGTTGGTGGTTGTGTTGGTGTGGTGGTGTTGGTGTTGGTGTGGTGGTGTCGGTGGTGGTGTGATTGTGGTGGTGGTGGTTGTGTTGCTGGCTGTGTTCTGTGTTACTGCCGAGTCGACCTAGGGGAGTCCCAGGACGGTGGTGACCGCCGTGCCACCACCACCCTTACTGCCACCACCCTCACCACCACCACCCTCACCACCACTCTCACCACCACCACCCTCACCACCACTCTCACCACCACCACCACCACCCTCACCACCACCACCCTCAGCACCACCCTCACCACCACCCTCACCACCACCACCCTCACCACCACCACCACCACCATCACCACCACCACCACCACCACCCTCAGCACCACCACCACCCTCACCACCACCACCACCACCCTCACCACCACCACCCTCAGGACCACCACCACCCTCACCACGACCCTCACCACCACCCTCACCACCACCCTCACCACCATCCTCACCACCACCCTCACCACCACCACCATCACCACCACCACCACCACCCTCACCACCACCCTCAGCACCACCCTCACCACCACCGTCAGCACCACCACCACCACCCTCACCACCCTCACCACCCTCACCACGACCCTCACCACCACCACCCTCACCACCACCCTCACCAACTACTCTAGCCCCAGCGTGTAGTTGATGCCCTGCACTAGGGCGATGATGAGTGGCTGCCAGGCCACGAGGTAGCGCAGCCAATCCAGGAGCTGCCCGTAGAGCACGTGGGGGCGTTCCCAGCTGGCGCGGGGCGGGGTCAAGGAGAAGAGGGGGAGGAGCCTGGGGAAGGGGAGGGGCGGGGGGAGGGGCTTACAGATACAGGGGGCTGCTGTGTGAGTCTCTGTGTGTGGTGAGTATATGGGTCTCTGTGTGATGAGTCTATGGGTCTCTGTGTGGTGAGTCTATGGGTCTCTGTGTGTGGTGAGTCTGTGGGTCTCTGTGTGGTGAGTCTGTGGGTCTCTTTGTGGTGAGTCTGTGTGTCTCTCTGTGTGGTGAGTCTGTGGGTCTCCGTGTGGTGAGTCTATGGGTCTGTGTGGTGAGTCTATGGGTCTCTGTGTGGTGAGTCTATGGGTCTCTGTGTGGTGAGTCTATGGGTCTCTGTGTGGTGAGTCTGTGGGTCTCTGTGTGATGAGTCTATGGGTCTCTGTGTGGTGAGTCTGTGGGTCTCTGTGTGGTGAGTCTGTGGGTCTCTTTGTGGTGAGTCTGTGGGTCTCTTTGTGGTGAGTCTGTGGGTCTCTCTGTGTGGTGAGTCTGTGGGTCTCTGTGTGGTGAGTCTATGGGTCTCTGTGTGGTGAGTCTATGGGTCTCTGTGTGGTGAGTCTATGGGTCTCTGTGTGGTGAGTCTATGGGTCTCTGTGTGGCGAGTCTATGGGTCTCTGTGTGATGAGTCTATGGGTCTCTGTGTGTGGGTGAGTCTATGGGTATCTGTGTGGTGAGTCTATGTGTCTCTGTGTGGTGAGTCTATGGGTCTCTATGGTGAGTCTATGGGTCTCTGTGTGGTGAGTCTATGGATCTTTGTGTGGGTGAGTCTATGGGTCTCTGTGTGTGGGTGAGTCTATGGGTCTCTGTGTGGTGAGTCTGTGTGTGGTGAGTCTATGTGTCTCTGTGTGGTGAGTCTATGGGTCTCTGTGTGGTGAGTCTATGGGTCTCTGTGTGGTGAGTCTATGGGTCTCTGTGTGATGAGTCTATGGGTCTCTGTGTGTGGGTGAGTCTATGGGTCTCTGTGTGGTGAGTCTATGTGTCTCTGTGTGGTGAGTCTATGGGTCTCTGTGGTGAGTCTATGCGTCTCTGTGTGGTGAGTCTATGGGTCTCTGTGTGGGTGAGTCTATGGGTCTCTGTGTGGTGAGTCTATGGGTCTCTGTGTGGTGAGTCTGTGGGTCTCTGTGTGGTGAGTCTGTGGGTCTCTGTGTGGTGAGTCTGTGGGTCTCTGTGTGGTGAGTCTGTGGGTCTCTGTGTGGTGAGTCTGTGGGTCTCTTTGTGGTGAGTCTGTGTGTCTCTCTGTGTGGTGAGTCTGTGGGTCTCCGTGTGGTGAGTCTATGGGTCTGTGTGGTGAGTCTATGGGTCTCTGTGTGGTGAGTCTATGGGTCTCTGTGTGGTGAGTCTATGGGTCTCTGTGTGGTGAGTCTGTGGGTCTCTGTGTGATGAGTCTATGGGTCTCTGTGTGGTGAGTCTGTGGGTCTCTGTGTGGTGAGTCTGTGGGTCTCTTTGTGGTGAGTCTGTGGGTCTCTTTGTGGTGAGTCTGTGGGTCTCTCTGTGTGGTGAGTCTGTGGGTCTCTGTGTGGTGAGTCTATGGGTGTGTGGTGAGTCTATGGGTCTCTGTGTGGTGAGTCTATGGGTCTCTGTGTGGTGAGTCTATGGGTCTCTGTGTGGCGAGTCTATGGGTCTCTGTGTGATGAGTCTATGGGTCTCTGTGTGTGGGTGAGTCTATGGGTATCTGTGTGGTGAGTCTGTGTGTGGTGAGTCTATGTGTCTCTGTGTGGTGAGTCTATGGGTCTCTGTGTGGTGAGTCTATGGGTCTCTGTGTGGTGAGTCTATGGGTCTCTGTGTGATGAGTCTATGGGTCTCTGTGTGTGGGTGAGTCTATGGGTCTCTGTGTGGTGAGTCTGTGTGTGGTGAGTCTATGGGTCTCTGTGTGGTGAGTCTATGGGTCTCTGTGTGGTGAGTCTATGGGTCTCTGTGTGGTGAGTCTATGGGTCTCTGTGTGATGAGTCTATGGGTCTCTGTGTGTGGGTGAGTCTATGGGTCTCTGTGTGGTGAGTCTATGCGTCTCTGTGTGGTGAGTCTATGGGTCTCTGTGTGGGTGAGTCTATGGGTCTCTGTGTGGTGAGTCTATGGGTCTCTGTGTGGTGAGTCTGTGGGTCTCTGTGTGGTGAGTCTGTGGGTCTCTGTGTGGTGAGTCTGTGGGTCTCTGTGTGGTGAGTCTGTGGGTCTCTGTGTGGTGAGTCTATGGGTCTCTATGGTGAGTCTATGGGTCTCTGTGTGGTGAGTCTATGGGTCTTTGTGTGGGTGAGTCTATGGGTCTCTGTGTGTGGGTGAGTCTATGGGCCTCTGTGTGGTGAGTCTGTGTGTGGTGAGTCTATGTGTCTCTGTGTGGTGAGTCTATGGGTCTCTGTGTGGTGAGTCTATGGGTCTCTGTGTGGTGAGTCTATGGGTCTCTATGGTGAGTCTATGGGTCTCTGTGTGGTGAGTCTATGGGTCTTTGTGTGGGTGAGTCTATGGGTCTCTGTGTGTGGGTGAGTCTATGGGTCTCTGTGTGGTGAGTCTGTGTGTGGTGAGTCTATGTGTCTCTGTGTGGTGAGTCTATGGGTCTCTGTGTGGTGAGTCTATGGGTCTCTGTGTGTGGGTGAGTCTATGGGTCTCTGTGTGGTGAGTCTATGTGTCTCTGTGTGGTGAGTCTATGGGTCTCTGTGGTGAGTCTATGCGTCTCTGTGTGGTGAGTCTATGGGTCTCTGTGTGGGTGAGTCTATGGGTCTCTGTGTGGTGAGTCTATGGGTCTCTGTGTGGTGAGTCTATGGGTCTCTGTGTGGTGAGTCTGTGGGTCTCTGTGTGGTGAGTCTATGGGTCTCTGCGTGGTGAGTCTATGGGTCTCTGTGTGGTGAGTCTGTGGGTCTCTGTCTGGTGAGTCTATGGGTCTCTGTGTGGTGAGTCTGTGGGTCTCTGTGTGGTAAGTCTGTGGGTCTCTGTGTGGTGAGTCTGTGGGTCTCTGTGTGGTTAGTCTGTGGGTCTCTGTGTGGTGAGTCTGTGGATCTCTGTGTGGTGAGTCTATGGGTCTGTGTGGTGAGTCTGTGGGTCTCTGTGTGGTGAGTCTGTGGGTCTCTGTGTGGTGAGTCTATGGGTCTGTGTGTGTGGTGAGCGCTGGTGAGGATACGGGTTGCTGAACATCCTCTTGAGGTCCACCTTCTCCTTGCAGTATGGACACGTCTGCTTCTTACCCACAATGCACCAGCCTCGGATGCAGAATTCATGGAATCTGAGAGGGCAGCCCTGGGCTAAGGATGCCACGACCACCGAGGAGTGAGCGGCGCTCACCGAATGCTCACCACGTGCTCACCACGTGCTCACCACGTGCTCACCACCACCACCCTGACCACTCACCAGCACCTCACATTAACGTCACGCTAATGTCTCACATGAACATCACGCTAATGCCTCACATTAACATCACGCTAATGTCTCACATTAACATCACACTAATGTCTCACGTTAACATCACGCTAATGTCTCACATTAACATCACGCTAATGTCTCACATTAACATCACGCTAATGTCTCACATTAACATCACGCTAATGTCTCACATTAACATCACGCTAATGTCTCACATTAACATCACGCTAATGTCTCACATTAACATCACGCTAATGTATCACGTTAACATCACGCTAATGTCTCACATTAACGTCACGCTAATGTCTCACATTAACATCACGATAATGTCTCACATTAACATCACGCTAATGTCTCACGTTAACGTCACGCTAATGTCTCACGTTAACATCACGCTAATGTCTCACATTAACATCACGCTAATGTCTCACGTTAACGTCACGCTAATGTCTCACATTAACATCACGCTAATGTGTCACATTAACATCACGCTAATGTCTCACATTTACATCACGCTAATGTGTCACATTAACGTCACGCTAATGTCTCACGTTAACATCACGCTAATGTCTCACGTTAACATCACGCTAATGTCTCACATTAACATCACGCTAATGTGTCACATTAACATCACGCTAATGTCTCACATTAACATCACGCTAATGTGTCACATTAACGTCACGCTAATGTCTCACATTAACGTCACGCTAATGTCTCACATTAACATCACGCTAATGTCTCACATTAACATCACGCTAATGTCTCACATTAACATCACGCTAATGTCTCACGTTAACATCACGCTAATGTCTCACATTAACATCACGCTAATGTCTCACATTAACATCACGCTAATGTCTCACGTGAACATCACGCTAATGTCCCACGTTAACGTCACGCTAATGTCTCACATTAACATCACGCTAATGTCCGACGTTAACATCACGCTAATGTCTCACATTAGCATCACGCTAATTTCTCACGTTAACATCACACTAATTTTTCATGTTAACATCACGCTAATTTCTCACGTTAACATCATGCTAGATTCTCACATTAACACCACGCTAATGTATCACGTTAACATCACAGATAGAGAGAGACAGAGAGAGACACAGAGAGAGACAGAGAGAGACTGAGACACAAAGAGACAGAGAGACACAGAGAGACACAGAGAGAGAGACAGAGAGAGACACAGGGAGAGACAGAGAGAGACAGAGAGACAGACAAGAGAGAGACAGAGACACACAGAGACAAGTAGGATACACGTGGCTGCAGGAGAGATGGTACGTGTTCTCAGAGAGAGACACAGAGACACAGAGACAAGACAGAGACACAGAGACACAGAGACAGAGAGACAGGAGAGACGGTACGTGTTCTCAGACAGAGACACAGAGACAGAGACACAGAGACAGAGACAAGAAAGAGACAGAAAGAGACAGAGAGAGAGACAAGACAGAGAGACACAGAGACACAGAGAGACAAGACAGACACAGAGACACAAGTAGTAGACACGTGGCTGCAGGAGAGACGGTATGTGTTCTCAGACAGAGACACAGAGACACAGACAGAGACACAGACAGAGACACAGAGAGACAGAGACAAGACAGAGAGACACACAGAGACAGAGACACAGACAGAGACAAGACAGAGACAGAGACAAGACAGAGAGACACAGAGAGACAGAGACAAGACAGAGAGACACAAGTAGGATACACGTGGCTGCAGGAGAGACGGTACGTGTTCTCAGACAGAGACACAGAGACACACAGACACACAGACAGAGACACAGACAGAGACACAGAGACACAGAGACAAGAGAGAGACACAGAGACACAGAGAGACAAGACAGAGACACAGACAGAGACACAGAGACACAGAGAGACAAGACAGAGACACAGACAGAGGCAGAGACACAGAGACACAGAGACAGAGAGACAAGACAGAGACACAGAGAGACACAGAGACAGAGACAAGACAGAGACACAGAGAGACAGAGACACAGAGAGACACAGAGACACAGAGACACAGACACACAGAGACAAGTAGGATACACGTGGCTGCAGGAGAGACAGTACGTGTTCTCAGACAGAGACACAGAGACACAGAGAGACACAGAGACAGAGACACAGAGAGACAGAGACAAGACAGAGAGACACAGAGACACAAGGAGGACACACGTGGCTGCAGGAGAGACGGTACGTGTTCTCAGACAGAGACACAGAGACACAGAGACAGAGAGACACAGAGAGACACAGAGACACAGAGAGACAGAGACAAGACAGAGACACAGAGAGACAAGACAGAGACACAGAGAGACACAGAGAGACAGAGACAAGACAGAGACACAGAGACAGAGACAAGACAAAGACAAGACAGAGAGACAAGACAGAGAGACAAGTAGGATACACGTGGCTGCAGGAGAGGCGGTACGTGTTCTCAGACAGAGACACAGAGACACAGAGACACAGAGAGACACAGAGACAGAGACACAGATAGACAAGACAGAGACACAGAGAGAGAGACAAGACAAAGAGACAAGACAGAGAGACAAGACAGAGAGACAAGACAGAGAGACAAGACAGAGAGAGACAAGTAGGATACACGTGGCTGCAGGAGAGGCGGTACGTGTTCTCAGACAGAGACACAGAGAGAGAGACAAGACAGAGAGACAAGACAGAGAGACAAGACAGAGAGACAAGTAGGATACACGTGGCTACAGGAGAGACGGTACGTGTTCTCAGACAGAGACACAGAGAGACAGAGACACAGAGACAGAGAGACAAGACAGAGACACAGAGAGACAATACAGAGAGACACAGAGACAAGACAGAGAGACAAGACAGAGAGACAAGACAGAGAGACAAGTAGGATACACGTGGCTGCAGGAGAGGCGGTACGTGTTCTCAGACAGAGACACAGAGAGACAGAGAGAGACAAGACAGAGAGACAAGACAGAGACACAGATAGACAAGACAGAGAGACACAGAGAGACAAGACAGAGACACAGAGACAAGACAGAGAGACAAGTAGGATACACGTGGTTGCAGGAGAGGCGGTACGTGTTCTCAGACAGAGACACAGATAGACAAGACAGAGAGACACAGAGAGACAAGACAGAGAGACACAGAGACAAGACAGAGAGACAAGTAGGATACACGTGGCTGCAGGAGAGGCGGTACGTGTTCTCGATGACCCCCTCCACCTCCACGTCCACCAGGATGCGTTGCCCGCACACGGCACACGTGTCCTGGGCCAGCTGCTTAGACGGCATGCCGCTTGCGCTGTAATACTGCACCAGCACCACCACAACAACAACAACCATCACCACCACCATCACCACCAGAACCACCACCACAACCACCATCACAACCACCACCACCACCATCACCACCATCATCACCACCATCATCACCACCATCATCACCACCACCATCACCACCACAACAACCATCACCACCACCACCACCATCACCACCATCATCACCACCATCATCACCACCATCATCACCACCACCATCACCACCACAACAACAACAACCACCATCACCACCACCACAACAACCATCACCACCACCACCACCAGCACCACCACAACAACAACCATCACCACAACCATCACCACCACAACAACAACAACCACCATCACCACCATCACTACCACCACCATCACCACCACCACAACAACAACCATCACCACCACCATCACTACCACCACCATCACCACCATCACCACCACAACAACCATCACCACCACCATCACTACCACCACCACCACAACAACCATCACCACCACCACCACCACAACAACCATCACCACCACCACAACCACCACCACAACAACCATCACCACAACCACCACAACAACCATCACCACCACCACAACAACAACCATCACCACAACCACCACCACCACAACAACCACCACCACCACAACCACCATCACAACCACAACAACCATCACCACCACCACAACAACCATCACCACCACCACCACAACAACCATCACCACCACCACAACAACCATCACCACCACCACAACAACCATCACCACCATCACCACCACAAAACCATCACCACCACAACCACCACCACAACAACCACCACCACAACAACCATCACCACCACAACAACAACCATCACCACCACAACCACCACCACAACAACCACCACAACAACCATCACCACCACCACAACAACCACCACCACCATCACTACCACCACCACCACAACCACCATCACAACCACAACCACAACCACCATCACAACCACCATCACCACAACCACAACTACCATCACCACCACAAACACAACCACAACAACCATCACCACCATCACCACCACAACCACCATCACCACCACCATCACCATCACCACCACTATCACCACCACAACCACCATCACAACCACAACCACTACCACCACCACAACCACTGCAAACACCATCACCACCACCATCACCACCACAACCACAACCACCATCACCACCACCACAACAACCATCACCACCACCATCACCACCACAACCACCATCACAACCACCACAAACACCACCACAACCACTACCACAACCACTACAAACACCATCACCACCACCATCACCACCACAACCACCACCACCATCACAACAACCATCACCACCACCATCACCACCACAACCACAACCACCATCACAACCACAACCACCACAAACACCACCACAACCACTACCACAACCACTACAAACACCATCACCACCACAACCACCATCACAACCATAACCATCACAAACACCACCAAAACTACCACCACAACCACTACAAACACCATCACCACCACCATCACAACAACCACCATCACAACAACCACCACAACCACAACCACAGCCATCACCACCACCATCACAACCACCACAACCACCATCACAACAACCATCACCACCACCATCACCACAACCACCATCACCACCACCATCACAAACACCATCACAACAACCACCACCACCATAACCACAACCACAAACACCATCACAACCATCACAACCACCACAAACACCACAAACACCACCACAACCACCATCACAAACACCATCACGACCACAACCACCATCACAACCACAACCACCACAAACACCATCACAACCACAACCACCACAAACACCATCACAACCACCACCACAACCACAAACACCATTACAAACACCATCACCACCACCAACACAACCACCACCACAAACACCATCACCACCACAACCACCACCACCACAACCACAAACACCACAACCACCATCACAAACACCATCACAACCACCACCACAACCACCACCACAACCACCATCACGACCACAACCAACAACACCACCACAACCATCACCACCACCATCACAACCACCACAACCACCATCACAACCACAAACACCACTACCACCACAACCACCACAACCACCATCACCACCACAAACACCACAAACACCATCACAACCACCACAACGACCACAAACACCATCACAACCACCACAAACACCATCACCACCACAACCACAACCACCACCACAAACACCATCGCAACCACAACCACCACAAACACCATAACAACCACAACCACCATCACAACCACCAAAAACACCATCACAACCACCACAAACACCACCACCACCATCAACACCACAACCACCACAAACACCATCACAACCACCATCACCATCACCACCACCACCATCACAACCACCATAACCACCATCACAACCACCAAAAACACCATCACCACCATCACAACCACCACAAACACCACCACAAACACCATCACAACCACCACCACCACCATCGCCACCACCACAACCACCACCACAACCAACACAAACACCATCACAACCACCACCACAAACACCATCACCACCACAACCACCACCACCACAACCACAAACACCATCACCATCACCACCACAACCACCACCACAACCACTACAAACACCATCACAACCACCACCACTACAACCACCACCACAACCACCACAACCACCACCACAAACACCATCACAACCACCACAACCACCACCACAACCACCATCACCATCACCACAACCACCACAACCACTACCACAAACACCATCACAACCACCACAAACACCATCACCACCACAACCACCACCACCATCACCACAACCACCACCAACACCATCACAACCAAAACCACCACAACCACTATCACCACAACCACCACCATCACGACCACCACAAACACCATCACCACCATCACCACCACCACCATCACCACAAACACCATCACCACCACCACCACCACCACAACCACCACAACTATCACCACCAAAACCACCACAAACACCATCACCACCATCACCACAACCACCATCACCACAACCACCACAAACACCATCACCACCACAAACACCATCACCACCACCACAAACACCATCACCACCACAACCACCACCACCATCACCACCACCACCACAAACACCATCACCACCACCACAACCACCACCACAAACACAACCACCACCACCACTACAACCACAAACACCATCACCACCACCACAAACACCATCACCACCACCATCACCACAACCACCACAAACATCATCACAACCACAACTACCACCACCAAAACCACCACAACCACCACAAACACCATCACCACCATCACCACAACCACCATCACCACAACCACCATCACCACAACCACCATCACCACCACAACCACCACCACCACAACCACCACCACCACCACAACCACCACCACCACAACCACCACCACCACAACCACCATCACAACCACCATCACCACCACCACAACCACCATCACCACCACCACCACAACCACCATCACCACCACCACAACCACCATCACCACCACAACCACCACCACAACCACCACCACCACCACAACCACCACCACCACATCCACAAAGACCATCACCACCACCATCACCACAACCACCACAAACATCATCACCACCATCACCACCACAACCACCACAACTACCATCACAACCACAACTACCACCACCAAAACCACCACAACCACCATCACCACCATCACCACAACCACCATCACTACAACCACCATCATCACCACCACCACAACCACCACCACAACCACCACCACAACCACCACCATCACAACCACCACCACAACCACCATCACCATCACCACAACCACCATCACCACCATCACCACAACCACCACCACAACCACCACAACCACCACCACAACCACCACCACCACCACCACAACCACCATCACAACCACAACAACCATCACCACCACCACAACAACCATCACCACCACCACCACCACCACAACAACCATCACCACCACCACAACAACCATCACCACCACAACAACCATCACCACCATCACCACCACAACAACCATCACCACCACAACCACCACCACAACAACCACCACCACAACAACCATCACCACCACCACAACAACAACCATCACCACCACAACCACCACCACAACAACCACCACAACAACCATCACCACCACCACAACAACCACCACCATCACTACCACCACCACAACCACCATCACAACCACAACCACAACCACCATCACAACCACCATCACCACAACCACAACTACCATCACCACCACAAACACAACCACAACAACCATCACCACCACCATCACCACCACCATCACCATCACCACCACCATCACCACCACAACCACCATCACAACCACAACCACTACCACCACCACATCCACTGCAAACACCATCACCACCATCACCACCACAACCACAACCACCATCACCACCACCACCACAACAACCATCACCACCACCATCACCATCACCACCACAACCACCATCACAACCACCACAAACACCACCACAACCACTACCACAACCACTACAAACACCATCACCACCACCATCACCACCACAACCACCACCACCATCACAACAACCATCACCACCACCATCACCACCACAACCACAACCACCATCACAACCACTACAAACACCACCACAACCACTACCACAACCACTACAAACACCATCACCACCACAACCACAACCACCATCACAACCATAACCATCACAAATACCACCAAAACCACCACCACAACCACTACAAACACCATCACCACCACCATCACAACAACCACCATCACAACAACCACCACAACCACAACCACAGCCATCACCACCACCATCACAACCACCACAACCACCATCACAACAACCATCACCACCACCATCACCACAACCACCATCACCACCACCATCACAAACACCATCACAACAACCACCACCACCATAACCACAACCACAAACAC